TAAGTGTACAGTTCTGTGGCAAGGATGTACAATCATCATTACCATCCATCTCCAAAATTTTTTCATCTCCCCATCTCAAATTCTGTACCCATTAATACCTTTCCTCCCCCCAGCGCCTGGCAACCACCATTCTACTTTTTGTCTCAAAGAATTTGACAGTTCTACATACTTAGTGTAAATGGAATCATATGGTGTTTGTCCTTTTGTGACTGGCTTATTTCGCTTAGCACAGGGTCTTCAAGGTTCATGCTCATTGTGGCATGTGACGGATTTCTTTCCTTTTTAAGGCTGAATAATATTCTATTGTATGTATAGACTATATTTTGTTAATGCATTCATCCATCAATGGACACTAAAGTTACATCCACCTCTTGACTATCAAATAATGCTGCTATGGACATGGCTGTACAAATATCTGTGGAATCTTTGCTTTCACTTCTTTTGGGGTATACACTCAGAAGTGAAATCACTGGATGAAGTGGTAATTCCATCTTTACTTTTGTGAGGAACCAGCATACCATTTTCCACAATACTGTATCCATTTTACCTTGCCACTAGCATTGCTCAAGGGTCCTAATTTCTCCATATCCTCACAGGCACTTACTATTTTCTCCCTTTTTAAGAGTAGCCATCCTAAAGGGTGTGAAGTGATTCAATGTGTATCTTTTTGTTTGTATGACTTCTTTCAAAATGTATACAGTTGTTTTGTCCCTATGCAACTTTTTACACAAGTAACATAGCATTATTTCTTTCATTTTCTGTGTGGCTATCTTCACCTGGAACTGTTTTTAAGACACAGCCATTTGTCTCCTGTACGCAGAGCTCATTGCTTCTAATTTGTGCATAGTACTCTACGCTGAGCACCAACTATATCCAAGCGTATTGAAAATGTTCTGAGTGCTTGTAGAAAGCTCTCTGCATGTGTTATTTGACTCCTTACAGCAATCTTAAGAGGTAGATGATTATTATTCCCACTCTATAAGGAAACTGATACACAGAGTTGAGGGACTCACCCGAAGTCACACAGCTGGAAACAGCAGACTAGACATTTTAACACAGGTCCATTTGGTACCACAAAGAGGACTCATGTGTGTTAAGTGCTAAAGCAAGAGGGCTAACTGCAGACAGAGGCTCCCTCTCAGGTGAGGGCATTCTGCTGAAAGTTCTAGTCCTCACTACATCCTGACTCATCTCCAGGTTGTGAATCACCTCCCTTCACCAGATGTCACTTTATGTCTGTGTAAAATGAAGACAGGAACAACTTTCTTGCTCTTTTGAGATTCACCACTTATTGATTAAACACCCTTTAGCTAACAGAAAAATAATCAGAACTGAAGGCAGGTGTTTGTCTCTTTCCAGTGCTCCACCTGGGAGCCATGCCAAACACATGAAAACCTTTTGGCGAATCTGCTTGTGAGGCTCCTCCCTGTAGGACTAACTATTCCCAGAAAAACAGAGGCGCTGCCTCCGGCCCCATCCCACCTCTCTTGAACTTTGCGCTTACCCCGATGAAAAATTAACCGGCTGATGTTTCCTTTCCAAGGACAACCTCTGCAGAAGCCGGCCTGGCTGGGCCCCAGGAGCACCGACACTAGAACAGAGCTCCTCTCCATCCACAGCCGCCCACCCACTCACCTGCCAAAGGCCAGGGTGTGTGGGGGGTTCTCGGGCACCCAGAGAAATCTGCTCCTCAGCCCTCCTCACTGTTTCATGAAACTGGACTGATTTCTTTAACTCTTCTAGGGGAGAAACTGAGGCCAGGGGAGAAAGAAACGCCCAGACGAGGCACTTGTTGGCCTCACACGGGGAGCCAGCCCTGTTTTCTGCATGCACCAGCTGTCCCACTGAGACCAGAAAAAGAGGGAATTGAAGGACAGCATGCTTCAGCCACGCTGACTGCTGACCAGTCACTGCCTCCTTTCAGGAGAATGAGAAGGCTGACGAGGGGGCCCTTCACATGTCATGATTCAGAGGCTCGGGGACATGCCAGGTCTTTCCACTACCTGCAGCCCTCAGATCTCTCTTAGGCGCCTCACCTTCATCGTGCACATTGCACCTCACCACACATGGCCTCTGCACTGAAGGAGGACAGTTGTCATGCTTTTTCTAGATTCATAATAAGAACTGTGAGGTTCATTCTTACAGCTGAGAGAATAGATGCTCACTGGGGTGATGGGGTAGAGAGAGCCAAGATTAAAAGCCAGTTCAGTCATTGATGAAACTTGAGGCCTTTTTGCTGGATGCCTCTCAACAGTGGGACCTGCCTGATGGCGGTGTTCAGGTTAATGTGAACGTTTCACACAAGGGCCCGTTTCTCACAGGCACACACCTCCCTTGATGCTTCTTTAGGTTGAGAGGCTAGGGCCCTTAGTCTTTCATTTCAGGATTTTCAGAAACGAGTAGGACGGCACACGGAGGTGCTCTATAGATGTGCATGTCTAACTGAACTCTGCTCCCCACTTTGCACCTTTCTCCATGGCACTAACAGTGGCCCCAAGGTGTGGCTCCATTCCTTTAGAGTATTGACTGTTGGCTAAGCTTTTCACATCGGACTCCCACAACCACCCTAAGAGATTGAGAGGAAAGCTATCTCTAGCCCGTTTTCCAGGTGAGCAAACATTTCTTCTAGTATCACAATAGTGCACCTGTGTAAAGAACTTTGCTTTTGCAGAGCTCCATCTGTGATGTCACCTTCGCCCTCTACAACTCTAGAAGGCAGTTAGCTGGGTGCCGTGTGGGCTGAGGCATCAAAAATCACTGGTTTCTATCCTAACTTTGCAGCTTAGAGCTCTCGAGTATTATAATCTCTGGGCCTCAGGTACTTCAGCTGTAAATGGGCGAGCAGGGACATCTACTTCAAGAGTCGCTGTGAAGAGAACTCAGAGGGCATCACTTGGGCTACCTGGAATGAAGAACGCCATCAATAAAAGTCTATTGCCTTCCTCCCTTCTCTTTTTCGATGAGAGCTGGAGGAAGGAAATGAAACCAGATTATAATGGCTGCTGGTTAGTTCCGAGGACCGTCCAGGAGTGGGGAGCAGGTCATTAAGCCCCATTTGGGGTTAAGAGGTTTCTCCTTTGAGGTCCAAGCAGGCAAGAAATTAGAAGGAGGGGAGCCCAGAGCTCGGCCCCAGCAGCTGACAGGCCTGGCAGAGCTCCTTCTCTCCTTCCAGGCAGGGGACCCCTGCAGCTTCTGGGCTGACTTTGTGGATTAGGCCACACCTCACAGGGCTCTGTAACGCCCCACCCGCTAGAGGGTTTTCGGATCACTTCTTTCTCACCATGGGAGTTTCCTGCTGTTAAAAACAAACAAAGGCTAAGAGGTGTGATAGGGGAGGGGCTGCAGGAGAAAGGCCCTGGGGGCCTGGGGTGACTCCAGACAGCCACTGAGTGAGGGGGGTCTGTGGGTGGACACCCCAGAACTGTGTTGGTGGAGAGAAAAGCCCCAGAGCGCCCCCCTATCCTGGTGTTTCTCTGCTTCCCACTGAAGCTAATTTGGAATATATAAGGTCCCCGAAGACTGCCCTGTTGCTCCACTTCTTGCGAGTTCACAGCTTTAAAAACAAAACTCTCTCTCCTATTTACTGGGTGTTGAATTTCGGATACTTTGGTTCCCATAGGATTCCAGCACCCTGTAATGAAACTTTTCCTCTACAGATACGTTCTAAGGCTCCCCCATTCATTTCTTCCTGAGCTTAACAATGCCTTTGAGGCCCATTTTCTGCGGGGCACTTGATTTCCAAGGCCCAAGGGACCCCTGACTGCAGCTATTATCCAGGGAGTCACTGGGGTCCCCACATCGGCACTTCTGAGAGCCTCTCCCTAGTCCTTGTTTCACCCAGCCCTGGGGCTCTAAAGCGGAACGGTTTCACTGGTGCGAGAATAAAAACAGCCCCCGAGTCCCCGGCGCCGCCACAGCCCCTGACGGATCGGCGCGCCAGCGTCCCGGTGCGCGCCCCGACTTCCTGGGCCTCAGCCTCCCGCGCGTCGTCCTCCCTCGAAGCGGGGTCCTCTTAGGAATGCACCGCCTGCCCGTGGCCAGACCGCTCTCGTTGGTTCGTGCGAGTCTAACCCTCGGGCCCGCCACTGCAAATGAGTTTCCTGAGTGTGGGTTCCGAGAGCGGGCGCCACGACCCGAGCCCGGCCCTCCCGCCAGGGGCCCCTCTCGCCGCTCCTTTCCCACGACTTCCTCCCAGCGCCCGCTGGACTTCAGGTCGGGGCCGCGCGGAGTCCTGCGCGCTCCAGCCCTGGCGGCCGCTGTCCCAGGTCGCCCACGTGGGCGTGCTCCGCGCCGGGCGGGGGGAAGGCCAGGAGCCCTCCCGGAGGCGGTAGAGGGGGGAGCCGGCAAGGCGCCCGCAGGAGGAGGCGGCAGGGCGCGGGGGAGGAGGCGGGGAGCCCCAGCGGCAAGGGGGCGGTGACAGAGCTTGGAAAGGAGGCTGCACGCGGATTTGCATGAAACACAGACTGGGAGCGGGCGGGAGCAGGAGCGCGGCGTACGCCCCGGGCCGGCCCAGCTAGCGAGCGAGCCGGGAAGGAGGAGGGCAGCGGGGAGGCGAGGCTGCCGAGGCGGAGGGATCTGCGCATCAAAGCGAGCGAGGCGAGCAAAGTTTGGCTAGGGGTTGGACTTTCCTTCCTGGAGGCGGCACCCAAACAGCCACCCCGTGCGGAAACCCAAACTTTCTTCTGCCACTCCGGTCCCCGCGGCCGCCGCCTCCGCCCCGCGTCCCGGGCCTTCCCGATCCCGCTTCGCTACCGCCTGCCCGCCGCCCCGCCGTCCTTCTCCCCGCCGTGGGAGACGCCCGGGGCGCAGGGCCGCGCGCCGAGCCCCGCCGGCTGCAGCGCCGCGGCCGGGTCCGGAGAACCAGCAAGTTCGCCGAGAGTTGAAGCGAAGTTTGGGCGGCCGCGGCCGGCCCGGGCTGAGCTCCCCGCTGCGCCCCCGGCGTCCCGCCGCGCCCAGCCCCGCCGGGGGCGCTCCTCGCAGCTCGCGCGCCCTCCCCAACCATGTCGTCCATCCTGCCTTTCACTCCCCCGATCGTGAAGCGCCTGCTGGGCTGGAAAAAGGGCGAGCAGAACGGGCAGGAGGAGAAGTGGTGCGAGAAGGCAGTCAAGAGTTTGGTCAAGAAGCTTAAGAAGACGGGGCAGCTGGACGAGCTGGAGAAAGCCATCACCACGCAGAACGTCAACACCAAGTGCATCACCATCCCCAGGTGGGGGCTGGAGGGACCGTTGGGCGCGCCCGCCCAGCCCCAGAGCGTGGCGGGGCCGGCCTGGTGGGATTGGAGCAGGAGGGATCGTGTGTGTGTGTACACGAGGGGTGGGGACGCAGGCAGGAAGCGGGTGAGGGGGGACCCCAAACAAAACCTTTTCTAGATTTGCAAAGATTCGGAGCCCGGGACTTCCACGCGGCACTCGCTCTCGCAGACCTCGCATTGGCTTTTCACCTCCGGGAAAGGGGGTGCTGCAGGATCGCCCCCCCCCCCACCCCGGGGAGCTGCGGGATAGAACTTGAGGCCCGCTTTGTTCAGCTCCGCGGGCCCGAGCCCCTCCTCCGCCGCCGCCTCCCGCCCCCGCGGCCCGCGCTCGTGGAGGTGGTGGTGTCTCTCCCATTCTTTTCTTCATTCCTGTCCCCCCACTTTCCTTCTCGACAGGAATGCAGTCCGTACAGCTGGGGCTGTGGGTGAGGAGCGGGAGCCTCGTGATTGACAGATTCCTTCTTCGTTCTCTCTTTGCCTTCGGGATTAGCATTTTTATCGAGTATTTTTAGATTCGGTTGTGCCAGTCTCCCGCCCCCTCCGCACACACGCACTTTAGTTGCAGTGCAGTGCTCTGACTTTCAAATGAGAGAGATAAGTGGCGGAGAGTGGGGTCTTCTCCCCCGCCTCCCCCGACTGTTTTTTGCCCTTCTTTCAGGCTGAGATTGTGGGTGGGTGCCGAAAGGAGGGGGGTTTGGAGCCGAGGAGATAACAAAACGCACCCCAAAGTGGGCCTCGCATCGGCCCTCGCATTCCTACGGAGCCCTCCTTCCCAAAGCGCTTTGCCATCTGTCTGGACCTCCTTTATCCTCCACTTCGTGCTAGCTAGGTCTGGCAGGAGCTCACAGATGGCTGATAGAAGGGGTCAGTGACTTCTCTCCACTCCCCACGGCCTTCTCTTAGCTTAGCTGCGCCCGGCTGGAAGTTAGGATGTGGTGGTGGTGGTGGGGGGGCACATATCTTAGCTTTCTTAGTCTCCCTCTTAGCCCCCTTTGAACGTCTTAATTCTGTACCGAGGGAGAGTTTGTGTGTCTGTGTGTGTGAGTAGGGGTCCCCGGCTGTGGAGGAATGAGCAGAGGGTCCCCAGGGCCAGAGCCCCACATAAATTGTCCGCCTTAATGCCGGGCCAGAAGTGGACTCCGTCCTTGGCCACCTGCTCGGGGCAGCTGTACGCCGGCCGCCGGCGTGTCAGGCATGCACAAAGCAACATCTGTCCACGGAAACCCAGAGCCGGCCTCCTCTGGAAATAAACGCCACATATGGTGGGAGTGCTGACTTGAAAAATAATAATTTTTTTTTTCAAAACTGGGTGGATCCAGTCAATAAAGCGGGAAGGAAGGTGGTGTACTGTCTGGGAAGTGTGTTCTGGTGTGTGATGGGGAGCCAGAATTGACTTCAGAGGAGGTGGTGTGATGTGATGGTCAGGGAGCCCTAGGTCCTGGTCTCAGCCCTGGTTCTTCCTTCTTTATTACTTTGGGTGAGGGGTAGGGAGTAGGGTAAAGGAATGTCATACTTCTCCCTCCTGGGGAGAACCTGCCTTCTTACTTGCCTGAGGGCGCTGAGGACAGTGCTTTTTTATGTTTTGAGACAGAAAAAAAAATCAGTATCCAGTATAAAATGAACAGCTGCATGAATTGTTTCACAGTTTACAAAGGACTTTCATATGCTTTTAGGAGATGAAGAAAAAGAAACTCATGGAAAATAGATAAGGCAGTTAGGCCTAAGACTGATCCCATTTTCAAAGTTGAGAAAACTTTGGGGAGAGGTGAAAAGGCTTGGCATAGCAAAACATCCCATTCTGACCAAATGTGCCCCTTCTGCTTGCCATGGCTCTTCTTCACTTTGAAGGTTCTGAATACATTCTTTGCTGATGGCTAGAGTATTAGCTAGAGGGGTGGGCCCTGGCATCTTTGGTAGTAAGGTTGCCAGCATTCTTTGGGCTGGTGACAGCCTGGAGGAGAGGCCTGGTTCCCCCTTGCCTTGGTAGGAGTTTGCCCTAGCCGTGGCCTGCTTTTTCTTCTTCCAGAGTTTTCTGCAGCCTGAAGCATATGGACACTCTGGATGTCCCTGAGAGTTCAAGTTAACTTGGCCTTCCCATAGCTCTGTGAGGACGGAGCCATCTTCTACCTGCCTGGCAAGGACCTGATGCTGAGGCAGATTTTTTTCCATCTTTTTCAGTTAGGGAAACCCCGTTACTTGGGTGGATCCAGACAAAGTGGATTTCCATCCTTGGATTTTGTGCCCACGCCTCTGGGTCACCTTGTCTCCGTTGGCAACAGCGGCTGCTGTTTTGCTCATGGGCAGAAAACTAAAGGCCACGTCTTGGGGAGGTGGCTAGCTGGCCTCAGGCGGGTGATATCGGTGTGTCTCTGAGTCCCATAGATTGTGGGGCTGCTTGTCAAATTGTCTGCTCTCTCCCCACAGCTTTTTATAACGAGGTCTTTGGGAAACTGACAGCGGGAAATGTTTCACCTAGTTATCCCACTGTGGGTGTGCGGTGGGGCCCTGGGTGCTTAAAAGTACCCTACAAGACCTGGACTTCACAGTGTAAGGAACCCTTAGTCTAAGGAACCCTTAGTCTAAGGAGATTTTCTCCAGCTTGTTTTGGCTAATACAAGATCATGAGCAGCAGCAGCCTGTTTACCAATTAGAGCTGTGTACTGGAGCCCCCCAGACTGCACACTTTCTTCTCTTACTCCGGCTCTAACTTGTCTCAGTGATCAAGAGAGCTGGAGTGATACAGGCTTACTGGTTTCAAGCATGTCAAAGAGACTGGTGCCAAAGCAGTGGTCAGAGCCTGATTTAGACACACCAGTAGAGGGGCTATCAGGATTCTCTGAGGTCTGGCAGGATGGTCAGAACTTCGACCGGTTGTGTAATAGCATCCTCTGTGTTATCCACTCTCCTTCTTGAGTACCTGAGTCCATCTGCAGGTATCTTCCTGGCCAGTTTATAAGAATGGAGTAATAGCATTTGCCAACGAGAGGCAGAGAAGGAGTGCGTGTGTTCTATCAGGGAGAAGGAGCCAGGCACACTTAAAAATGACTCTTCTGATGGACACTGATAATTTATATTTCTACCAATGGGACCCATGCCGTGGCCCACTTGTTGAGGGCTGGACCAAGCTTATGACCTTGTTTGTTTGGAAGGAAATTCAGGCTTTCTTGTGTCAAAGCACCAAGTCCTGAGGAAAGTGGGGGAATCGAACCAAACATAAGGTCTGACACATACCTTTGTGTGCATCTGTTCTTTTGGTGTGGCCCCCTCCTGCTATCTGCCTGGACTTTCCCAGGCTGGTCTCACCGTGATATTTCTTTCTCAGGCTTCGGGGGACAGACCAGGGGTGCACGAGTGGCAGCTTTAACATCCTCTCCATTTCAGCATCTCCTGTCCTCTTCTCTCAGTTGCAGCTCAGAGCACCATCTTGTGTGGCCCACTGGAACCCAGCTCACTTGCAAGCACCCATCCTCTCCTTTCTCTTGTTAGCCTCTATTAGAGGAGTTCTGCACAAAGGCAGGTGCCGGACACTGGGTAGTGGACTGTGGGGCTGGCTTAGAGCTATGGCTGAATCTAGGAGCCACTTGACCTTCGAACTTAGGAGCCATTTGGAACCTTCGAACTTGCTCCTCGCACCCAGGAGTTGAATGATTGGGCTCAGTACGTGTTGCAGACAGCCCCTTGCTCACAGTTCCTAATCAAATGTTACAGGATGGGATTTTGTGGATTCGTTCATAGGTATTGGCCCCTCCCATGTCTGAATCTGTATTCTGGGAAGTGGGGGAGGGTGTGGAGATAAACTTGAGATGGTCCCTGCCTGTGACAAGCTTACACTTGAGTAAGGAAAACATCAACAGGACATTATTTGTGTCTATTTCTTTCTTATTCCCAGGCATCAGGAAAAATATGAGCTCTAGTATGGAGTGATATTTTTGGGGAGTGAGGGGGATTATGATATGTTTTTTTAATATTTAGAGGTCACTATGTTAGATAACAAAGTAAGGATAGCCATCTGTTTTCCCCAGAAAAAAAGCACAGAATTCACGTCCTGTATCTTGTTGTTTTAATACCTGGATGGATTTAGCAGTTCTCAGAGCCTTCGTGTCGGCACCTGTAAAATCAGGATGAGGTAAAGCCTGTGGAAGTGTTTTGTAAACCAGAAAGTTTGAGAGATGTGTTTTATATTTAGATGTCTCTGTGTATCATTCATTCATTACTAAATTATTCGGTCATTTATGAAATACCTACTATGATGAGCAGGGCAGGGCACCTGTTCTCAAGGGCCCCCCTGTCTAGAGTGGGAGACAGACTTGCCCAAAATATAGGCCGTTAGCTGCAGCCAAAAGGATGTACAAAATGCCCCGGGATGCGGGGGACAGACCATTACTTCTCTGGGAAGAGGTGGAGAGAGGAGGGAGGGGTCAGTGCAAGGTGGAAAACCAAGAGGACAGGAGGTATTATCCAAAGGAGGAAGCTTCTGGACGGTAGTACGATCATAGGAACTTTTCGGCTCATGGTGTTTGTTGCCTACAGGACTGAGAATGTCTTTATTTTCTCTTACTCCTAAATGGAGTGCTGCTATGAATATGTTACCTCGTAGTCTGCACCAGAAGACTAGTGACTTGTATTCAGTATTTTATGCCACTGTAAAGTGTTCTCACTTTGAAATTAAAAAAAGGAGTTAGTATGGCAAACCTGAAATTCAAGTTTCCTTGGTGGAAACGGTGAGTTAAGATGTATTAGCTCAGAATATAACAGACCATGTCGATAAGAAGTGGGCAACTTGGAGGTGATGGTGGATGCTCAGAAGTTTTGAGTTTTGGTGTGCACTTTTAATTTCTCTGGTTAACACTTGGCAAAAAATAAATCCTGTAAACCTGAAATTCTACAGGGACATAAGAGCTTTTAATAATGTATTTTTAAAAGTCTTTGCAAGGATGTAAAGGTTTAAATGACAA